TTAAAGTGCTTATGAGAAATTAATGTGGTTTGACAAATATGTCAAAACAGGACAGTTTTATGGTTGAATAAAATAGAAGACGGAATGAAAAAAGAAAGTGGGTTGCTGTTAGCAACGAATAATTTTGGTTGGTGCTAGCTATGGCGGTGAACAAGGAAGAATAGGTTGTTGGAGGCGACGAAAATTTTGGAGGAAGAGCCCTAAAAAGGTGGAATAGTCCGGGAGTGCTTTAAAATCGTTTAATTATAATTTAGTTTTTCCACATTGTCAAATAGAGATATCCAGAATTTGTTCCAGAGAGTAAGAGAAATTTTGACTTATAAATTATAATTGGAGTGCAGAAATGTCATTTAGATTGAAAAAGTAAAAATTCATGAATTAACTAATTGCGATAGGCCTTAAAAATTGAAATATTAATGATCATTAAAATAAAAATATAATAGTACGTACCTTTAACTTCCGAAGAGAGGATAGATATTCCAGTATCACCGATTATTTTGCGAGTAGTTAGTTTTCTTTAAAAAAAAAAAAAAAATCAGAACTGTTTGAAAGTGAGTTTGGATAATAATTTTGGGGATCATTTGAAATTTTGATTATATTTTAATGCTAGTTATAAGTCAGCGGCATAAAGTGTTCAGTTTTCTTTTCTTTATATTTCATTTAAACACTTTATAAAGTTGCAATAGTCATTTAGATTTAAGGTAATTGTAGAGAGTTTCCACATTTTGTAATCAAATTCTATTTTCACGACACATTAAGGTTTACACGATTCCTATTTTTGTAAATTTTTAAAGGCAACCCAAGTTGCAGACGAATTTTATTGTTTATATTAAATTTGTTCAATATTAATAAATAACGTGCTTCATTTGGGTTAATTTATCAAAAATATAAAGTAAATTTTGGTTTAATTTCTTTTTGAACTCTACCAGGAGACTACAGAGTTGACGTCACACAGTGACAGATTGCTTAGAACAAATAATTGAGCTAGCCGAGGTATAGTATATTAACAACGAACTACATACTTTTAAAATTCACTTCAATTCAATTAAAATTATATTTATTAACAATAAAACATAAAAATAATAAAAACAAAACTATTACAATATACATCTCCTTTAACTTTTGATTTTGATCTTGGGTTGTTGTGGTTTTCACTGGTTGTGCTTTTAGATTTTCATTTTAACGTTTAGTTGAGGGGCTATTAGGTCCCATTGTATGTGTACATTATCCACTACCACTGTTATTTGGCTTTGCATTTTATGTAAATTGTTTATACACATATACCTATATACATTTTTTATAAATATATTTATTGTTGCTATTTTGAGTTTTATTTCAGTTCTACTAACCAGTATATAACATAGCAAAACAAGATTATTATTTAGTATTTTTGTATTTCAGAGTATTATCTCCAGATTCATTTGTTACTACAAAATCTCAACTATCGTTGAGTTGGCGCCCTTCTTTTCTCTTCTTATTGTTCTCTTTCTATAAATTTATTCCCAGTGACCTTCTTCAGTTGTATCACGTTTGATATTACCAGGTCTCATTTCTTTCTTGTCTCATTAGCTCATTATCTCTTGTTATTGTTGTTTATATCTTTAAAGCCACAATCCAGTGCATTGAAGCTAGCCCGAACACTCACTTGAGATTTAGTGTCTCTTTGGCCATTTAAATTTGTTCTTCTGAGCTTAGCCCTATTTTTAGTATTTTTTTTTCATCACTTCTCTTTCAGTTCTTCTGAAATTTGGAAGTTCTACACTTCCAAAAACCCAATACTCCCGGAGTATTGAGCGTTTCACTTTCAATAACCGCATGTGTCGAATCAACAGGCATGCAGGTATACTCTGGAAAAAGAATTACAATTTTATTGGTTTGAATATTTCTAGATTTTTTTCAAAAATAAGTCGATCATAACTAGAATTGCTTTATTTTCATTTTGCCGAACTTAGCTGTCGCAGTACAAAATAACATGTCTAATATGTCTATCTTCTAACATTTTTAGGTATGTACTCCACCCAAAAAAAAGTTTCCATCTTGCAATGGCCTTTTGTATATGCTGTCGTTATAAGATGAATACTTTCTAGAATAGTACAATAACATGTTGAACAAACTGAATTTGAGACTTCTGTGACTTTCTTTTGGTCTTCTAAAAAGAGTTTTTAGTTTTTCCTTTTACTTTTAAATGTTTCTCGCATGATTCTTTTAAGTAGTGTTTTCTCGAAATTCTTTATCTTTTCGTACCTCGCAAAAATTTTTTAGGTAAAGTGGAACCCAATGTTAATATCTTTGATAAAAACGTGTCTTAAAACTTTAAGTAAAACAATCTTTCTTGCTTTTCCATTTACCTCCTTTTGTTTAATAAAAATCCTGTATAAGAAACTAACATTTCGCAATTCCTGTGGTAAGTATTTTCTGCTACTTCGATTTCGACAGTAATGGAATGGTATAGCTGGTAATTGCTTAATAAAATCGTATATTTTATGGATCATGCCTGAACTTGTTTTGTTCGTGGTTCGTGTTTGCCTCTCTGATCACTTTTGCATCTATTTTGTACAGCACGTTTTATTGCATATCGCATTACCGTTTACGAAATATCTAGCGTCTGTAATAAAAACTGCTGGCACACTTCAAGTATTTTATCATCCCAAGTAATAAAATACTTATAGGAATTGTGTCATCTGCTATACATGCTTCTGTCTTTCTTCGCAATATTACTACCTTTTGACAAACGATAATAATCAATTTCTCTGCTTTTCATAATTATCCAGCCCCCAATAAAAATCATGAATGTCATGCCATGTAATCTCAGTTATTTAAGCAGAGCAGTTACGTTGAAATTTTTTTTACGGGGATTTTCCTGTACTGAACTACCTTTGCCAAAATTGTACTTGCATTTTTTAATTTCTCTTTTGTTGGGTTTTTTCTTTTTCCTCATTCCTGATTTTCCAAGTAAATGGACAGCTTTAGCCGGATAGCATGCATTACAAATAGTTAGATGACGAACAATAATCTCGATCACTATGAAATTTTCGGAATTGAATTTGTTTGCTATGCCTTTTTTTAATTATTAGTTGTATTTAATTTTTCTTGCGCAATGCGTCACTTTTTTTAGTAAGTTCAAGTGTGTAATCATTTTCCGAAGAAGTCGAGTCATAATTTACGAGTTTTGCAGATATATTAGAGGTTTCTGCTTCAGGGTTTAACTCTATTGTACCGTTATTGTTAAAATAATTTATTAACGGCTAAAAATATTCATCTAAACCGGATTCCTGTTTAAATTGAACACCCACTGTCCTATTTGTCTATCAGTACTTATTGGTACATTTGCTTCTTCTTGCATAGTATGGATACAATCATTTGCATAAGGACTCGAATTGTTAGAAGACAATAAAACAGATTCATCTATTTGGATTAAATCTTTATTAACTAAAGTAGTTTTTATAATAATATTTTTGAAGTTAAATAGATTGTCACTTAAAATAACGTATTTCAGCATATACCCGATTTGACCCAATCCCAAGTCAAGTTTCTACGTCACCTATAATTTCATTTAAAAACTTTTGGCGACTCCCCCAATTTGTAAAATAAAGTATGAACTATAGTGTTGCCCAAAATCGATCTTGGTCTTGCAGTCTTGGTCTTATTCTTGCGTTTTTGCAAGACCAATACCAAGACCAAGTAATTTTAGCAAGACCAAGACCAAGACTGACCTTGCAAGATTTAAGCAAGAACAAGACTAAGCCTGCGAGACTCTTGCGTCTTGCAGTTAGGACTGAGTGTCGTTTTAGCAAGTATAGTAGTTCCGGTATATTTTTAAAGACACTATAAGACGCAAAAAAATATGTAACAAAAATTAACCACGTCATGTAAAACATATACTTATTAGCTTATTACCAATCACATATATTATATACCTACTATTTTATTTTGGCAAATTATTATATTTATTAAGTAGATATTTCCTTAATTTAAAATAATTTCAACCCCCTCTGTGGCTCAGTGGTAAGAGCGCCTACCTTTAAACCTAGAGGTCGTGAGTTCGAATCTCATCTGGGTGGAGAAATTTTCGTTTATTAAAAAATTAATGAATGAAAATAGTTTCTATCCTTGTGCGATCGGTACTCATCGGAGAGACCGCAGACGTTCGGATACAATTAGCGCCTCTTAGCAAAGACAATGACGTCGACTTTGCTAAGTATTAAGACCACGTGGCCGAGTGATAGCTTTTTTACTTACTTTTTGCTTTTTTACCTATTCTTTATTGTTTCAAGATAGTTTTTTATATTAAAGTTGAGCTAAGATTGTTAAGAACATTTATATTGCTTTAATAAGTGGAATATAGTTTTTTATCTTATTACCTAAATAATCTGTGCCCTTGATACCTGTATGTCGATTTTTTGCCACTTACCAATCTTTTTTTAAGATTTTCATTTCATATATGGGGAATCCCTTTCTAGGCAGATAATGTTCTTTAAAATAGTCAAGTTTATGTCATTAATTTGTTTTTTTTTGTAATTTAAGTAACCATGTTTTAGCTCATGTAAGTTTATTAAATTTACACAATTATTAAGAAACAGATTGACTTCCGTGGTGCATGGTAGATAGCTGAGTTAGTTAGAGCATAGGTACGGATCGCTTACATCGTGGCTTCAAACCCTACCCGGTGTCTTTATTCTATTAAAGTAACGTTTAATAAATAGCAATAGGCTAATGGTTAACTGCAAGACTTGCAAAACTAAGACCAAGACCGGGAGTGCAATACCAAGACCAAGACCGGGAGTGCAATAATAAGACCAAGACCAGGTGTATTGATGCAAGACCAAGACCAAGACTGTGCAAGTCTCGTATTGTTCTTGCATTTGGGCAACACTAATGGGCTATTATGTTTTTTATGAATTTTCGGTTTTTTCGACAACATTATGTTCATACTTTAAGATAAATCGCACTATATAAATTCACACAGTAATTAGGAAATTTTAGTGTTTTAGTAATTTTAGCAAATTTTAGTAAATCTCATTTGTATTATTACAGATATAGTGGGCTGTTTCAATTTACCTCACAAAAATTCGCCACTGCAGAAAACACCAGAAAGTCCAGAACTTCTTAAAACTAAGTTTTATCTGTATACTAGAAGCACAGATTTTAATGAGCCAGAAGTTCTATATTACGACGATAATGATCAATCATTAAATGGTTCATCCTTTAGAATATCTGGTCCGCTAAAAGTGGTGGTTCATGGATACATGAGTAAGTGGAATGAAAAAGCTGCGATGATTATAACGAATTCATATTTAAAAATGGTAAGTTTTAAAATTTGTTTTTTATATACGTTTCTGAGAAATACAATAAGTCATAGTCATAGTCATACTTTATTGATTATTTAAGACATTCAAAATAATATATAGGATACGTCACTACAGAATTCAGTATAAGAAATATTAATGTGTTTAGTACAATATTCATAGTGTAACAAAATTGACAAAACATAAAATATATAAAATAACATTTTTACAAGTAAAATATGAAGCTACTGCAGTTTGTCCTCAAGATATTCATTTATAGAATAATAAGCTTTTCTTAAGAGTAAATGTTAAATGTTAAATGTTAAATCTTTAACATTTTTTTTAAATTTAGTGATAAGTGGTATTTCTTTCACAGTTTTTGGCAAATGATTGTATAAGGTCAGTCCCATATATCTGAAGCAATTTTGAAATTTGGACGTTCTGTGTTTAGGAACTTCTAAAGATTCAGCACTTCTTGTATTATAATAGTGATTCCCTGAATTTACTGGAAATGTATTGATTTCCTCTTTTACATACAGTAAACATTTGTAGATAGTAGTCAGTATAATATAAGCTTCTATTCTTCTTCTTCTTCTTACGGTGCCTATCCGTTCCGGATGTTGGCGATCAACATGGCTATCCTAACTTTGCTTGCTGCTATTCTGAATAGTCCGGTTGTTGATATATTAAACCACTTTCTCAGGTTTTGAAGCCAAGATATTCTTCTTCTCCCTGGTCCTCTCTTTCCAAATACCTTTCCCTGAAGAATGAAATGCAACAAGCCGTATCTCTGTTTATTCCTCATAACATTGCCAAGATATTCTAGTTTGCGCTCTTTGATGGTGTTAATGATCTCGCATTCCTTGCCTATTCTACGTAGGACCTCGACATTAGTCACACGATCTACCCATGAAATTTTAAAATACGTCTGTAACACCACATCTCGAATGCCTCGAGTTTTCTTAAGGAAGCTTCGGAAAGTGTCCAGGCCTCTACTACGTATAATAACGTATAAAATACATAGCATTTAATGAGAGAGATTTTGGTAGCAAGTGGTAAATCGTGACTTCTGAAAAGAGACTTCATCATTATGCACGCTGATCTCACTTTTCCTATGCGTTGTTTTATTTCACTGGAGTGATCTTATTGGCTATTAATGTTGGTACCAATGTATGTGTAGTTGTCCACTCTGTCAATTGGATGTTGGTTAACCAAAAGCTGTATATTTAAGCTTCTATTCTGGTAAACGGCAAAGAAACAGACAAAATTTGTATTCAAAGATATGTCAGACAGGGTTGTATGTTGTCCCCGACTTTGTTTAACGTTTACTTAGATATAATTTTTAACAAAGTCTTGGAAGGGTAATGTGGAGTTCGTATCGGGGGAAAAACTATAAATAACATTAGATATACAGATGACACCGCAATCATGGCTGAAAGTAGCGAAGATCTTCAATTCCTTATAGATCTAGTATACTTATATAAATAAAAATATAAATAAAATTGTATTTTTGGTTTGGAATTCCATCTCTACTTACATTTAATTCTTGTGTTAAAGGAACTTAATTTTTCTTAGGGGAGTTCAGGTTTTTTTCAAGAAATTTATAAACTTGGATAAATATGTTTTATTTAACAATCCTTACCTATACCTTAATAAGGTGTGATGTGGGTATTAGTTAAAAATAGTTAGGTAATGACTGTGAATATTGATTTACACGATTTTATTAAAAGAAAACCATGTGTTACAATTTAACCTAGATCTTACAACAACTAACATATGGATATGTCTCTTGTCACCGTTCACTCTCGGTGGACACTGTCATGGTAACTTCGGTGGTATTCAGCCACGGAGCGGTGTGGCTGTTACATCCTCCCCCTTTGCACCACCCTGGCGACTCGCGAGTGGGGCAACAGAGTCTAAGCAGGAATAGAGCTCTACAGGACAGCAATGACAACGTTTTGGTCGGGTTTGTCTACGTCTGGCAATATGGTCAGGTGCAGGTTCAGCTTCAATTTGAGCAAGGTCATCTCCAACATGGGGGCCCATTTCGCTATCGTCTAACCCAAGGGTCAAAGACTCTAGGCAGCAGACCAGTGGAGCAGGAGGGTCGGCTTCTGAGAATTTCACTGGACGACCTCTTCTACGGAGAGGTTGAACTGGAGCAGGGCACGGATTTCTGGATCGGCATGGAAAGGCGTCAAGGCTGAGACATGATATTTTCCAGCAAAACATCCGGAGTGTCGATGTGTGAAACTTCATAGGTTGTAGGGGACAGCATTTTGGTCACCTTGTAGGGTCCGTCACGACGCGGCGCGAACTTCGAAGTTATGGACTTAGACGCGTCACTTAGTGTATGCGAATCGACTAGCACAATATCACCTACTTCGAACGAAACCAAGCGGCGGTGGCAGTCTTTATACTTCTTACGTCTATCTTGAGATTGTTCATGTGTCTCGCGGGCTTCACTAAGAGCTTTACTCAAAGTTATTAGATAGGGCGTGATTTGTGGCACGAAGTTGTCCTTGGCTATGATGCTTCGAAAATCACGATTTGCATCATCAGGAGTTCGTAACTCGCGACCAAACGTGAGGTACGCAGGAGTGAAACCGGTTGAGTCGCACTTCACAGTGTTCATCGCGAACCGTATAGCGGTTAACTTTTTAAAACCAAGACGAATGGTCATTATTTGTTAGAATAGCTAACTGAGTTTTGATGTCTCTATTTTTTCGTTCGACGGGGTTAGCTTTTGGGTGGTATACAGGTATAAGGTTCTGTTGGTACCCGAAACAATGCGCCACTTGCTGCATTACCGCACTCACGAACTGAGTACCGTTGTCACTGACGACTCTACGAGAGATTCCGTATCGTAAGATTATGTTGTCTATGAAACACTTGGCGCAGGCAGCGGCAGTAGCAGATTCTAACGGGAGTAATTCTACCCAACGACTAGCAGTATCTTCCACTACCAGAATCCATGTATAACCTTGAGGAGAGAGGGGCAAAGGCCCAAATAAATCAATAGATAGCACTTCAAACCTCTGGGACTGAACAGGGGTTTATAGGAGACCAACGGGTTTGAGGTTAGAGACTTTATAGCGTTGGCGTTCAAGACATTTACTTACATGGTCAGAGATAATTTTCTTCATTTCAGGCCAATAGTAGCGTTTAGTATTCTTTGATCTGTCTTCTCCACTCCATAATAACCAGCAGTAGCGGAATCATGGTACTCATGCAGTATGTGAGGAATACGGGTACTAGCCACTACCAATTGGGGCTCTTCTTCTTCTACTTCAGGAGTATAACGGTATAATATCCCATTGTTCATGATATATCCTTAAGTATCCTCGAAATTTCTTCACTGCCCAAACCACAGCGAGAGCTTCTCGTTCTGTAGTACTATAGTTTTGTTCAGTAGGAGTCAGGAGTCTCGAAGCATACTCTACAGGTCGTTCGTTCTCTTTCTCCCCCTGGAGAAGACATGCCCCCAAAGCATAATTGCTAGCATCTGTATGAAGTATATAAGGTAAATTGCAGTCAGCTTGTCGTAGGATTGGGGCGGAACACAATAATTGTTTCAGATATTCAAAGGCCTCTTGTTGTTCTGCTTCCCAGGTCCATTTCACATTTTTCTTGGTTAAATTCGACAAAGGTTTAGCAACATGGGAGAAATTTTCGATGAATCTACGGAACCATGAGCATGTTTGCAGGAATTTTGGCAGTTGAGTAACATTTAGGGGTGGTGTCATGTTTAGTATGACAGATACTTTATTTTCACTTGGCCGGATACCAAAGGTGAAAGGATGTGTCCGAGATATTTTACTTCCTCACAGGCAAATGAACATTTTGCTCTATTTAGACATAATTTAAATAGGCGCATCCGGTTGAATACTTGTTTCAAATCGTCTATGTGATCAGAGAAGGATCGGGATAATATTATCAGATCATCTAAATAAGCTAGGATATTCAGATTTTGAAGACCAGCACGAAATTTATCAATCATCTTTTGGAAACTAGCGGGACTGTTACACATACCAAAGGGCATGCGTGTGTAACAAAAGGTACCAAATGGACACACAAAGGCTGTTTTGTCACGATCAGCTCTGTACGAACGTACAGAGATTTGATAATAACCGTATTTTAAATCGAGGGTAGTCATAAATCGGGTTTCCTTTGCTGCATGCAAAATATCTTCAATACGCGGCAGAAGGTACTTATCTGCACGTGTTATTGCGTTTAAGCGTCGATAGTCTACTGTTAATCTTATACCTTTATCTCTCTTAGGCACAAGTACCACGGGTGAAGCATATGGGGACTCACACTCTTCGATTATGCCTTGAGCCAAAAGTTTATTTAATTCCTGACGCAGTAATTGCCTTTTGGTCTCTGACATACGGAAAGGTGGAACAGATATTGGTACATCATCAACCAATACAATGGAGTGTTCAGCATATGGAGTAGGGTCTCTATATTATATACGAATAAATCAGAAGTTTCCTTAACAATGTTGTTAAGATTGGATCTTTCTTCTAAGGATAGAGAAATTCCTTCATCTACTCGTAGTTCTAAAATAGCAAGAGTAACGCTATTGACCTGGCAAAGAGAGCTGACCTGAGCTGGATCTGGAGCAAATGAGTAGGGGATATTAGGGACATCACCATAAAATCATGAGTCATTAGTAATGTTTAGAATGATGTTAGCTTTTCTTAAGAAGTCTGTCCCCAGTAAGGTACGACTATTTGTGTGTGTGGGCACAGAAATTAAGGAAATGCTATGAGAGCGATTTTGTAAGATAACAACTAAATCAAAGGCCAAAACAGTGGTAGAAGTAGTCCTACCATCCGCTAGGGTCATGTCTACACTTTTTATGGAAAAGGGTACCTTATCCTTCAAAAGGATATCTCTTAGCTGAGAGCCAGCAATACTGCACTGTGCTCCCGAATCAAGATAACAATGACCTACATGACCTTCAATAGTGACCTGAACAATGGGTTTAGTTGATAGGTTTGTGGCAAACTGTT